CCAAGCTAGTATGTATCCATGGCAGGACGTAAAAATTGTATGTATGTAAAAATGTATGTAGATATACAATATATAATATATGCGTGTTTTTCCTTCCGATAGAAAAAAAGTGTTTAATGGCATCATTTGACATTTGGAACATAATTGAACATCACTTAGAGCATAGTTCAAAATAACATAATATTTGGAACTTGAACATAATTGAACATCACTAAGAGCATGGTTCCATATAACATAATATTTGGAACTTGAACATAATTGAACATCACTAAGAGCACAGTTCAAAATAACATAGACTTGTTGACTTTAAAATGAAATAAAAGAGATCTAATGGTATTTCTAATCTTTATTTATTAAAACAAAAGGTTATGAAATATTTTCCCAAGTGGGGCTTAAATTGATTGGTTTAGAAATTAATAAAGAAACTATAGACGAATATCAGTTAGAAGGTGTTTGTAGAACTTCATGATGGTGATGCAGATCATCAATCTTGACGGCAGGCTTTCTCACAACTAGGCTTAGTCTAAGGGAGAGAGATTGCGGACTTATCCTGTATACAGGATAATGGAAGGAAGTCTGGTTCCGCCCGGATCTCTGGAACATTGCGGAGCGAACTATTGTTACCTTCTCCTGCGGAGCGAACTATTGTTACCTTCTCCTGTGGGAGGGAGAGATTGCGGACTTATCCTGTATACAGGATAATGGAAGGAAGTCTGGTTCCGCCCGGATCTCTGGAACTTTGTGGAGCGCGGAGCTAGGTGTAAGCAGTGTCTTCTGTTGTTGGTTTCGTATCTGAATCATCATCACAAAGGAGCCAGGGTTGAGACGGAGTTGTGAATCTCGTGAGTGTTTTCCGCTGACTGACTGGTGAAGCGGGAGCTAGGTTGAGCGGAGATTTGACATGTGGGGTGTGTTGTATGGCGGAAAAGGATTCTGTGTATTCAGTGTACACACACATCCAGGGAATTAACATCGGCATTTGAGTCGGAACAATCGTCTTCCTTATATTTCGAATTTGTTTTAACAAGACTGTATATAAGACATATGTTTTTTTTTTAAATCCAGTGTATTTACTTTGTACAAATACCATTTAGTAAAGAAGGAAGAAGAGTATAGTCATTTTCTAAACCATGAAGCCAAAATTCAAATCGCCAACTTTTTTAACCCACCCTGTATACTCTGTTGCATCATATTAGATGTTTCTTAAATCTAAAAAATTGATTTAATCTTTGTGTTTTGAGGGAAAACACCTTACTTACGCAAACACTTGGAACTTCCCTTTAATACAAACAGAATTAATCAATTGGTTACCCGCACTTATTGATAAATGATAAAAACGTATTGATAATAAAACAGTATTTAAATACAGTTTTTTCCTTAAATTAACCCTATTCCGATTGGACTACTTTTGCCTAATAAGGAAGTGTTGAGATAAGGAAGTGTGTAACATAAATTTTCGCCCTGTCTGTAACTTAATTACTGAACAGTTAAAAAGCAGTTTTGTCTTTTTTTTTAAACACCGACCCGTCGTTTGACCTTCCTAAACCCTATCCTTAGAATGCATGAAAAAAATCTTTTCACATTTATGATGTTAAAAAGTGAAGAAGTTTAAGCAATCTGATGTTAGCCGTTCTTAAGTTATTTAGAAAAAAACTACATCGTTATAGGGTTTATATCATCTCAGCCGACTAAGTCGAATTAAAACCACATCGTTATAGGGTTTATATCATCTCAGCCGACTAAGTCGAATTAAAACCACATCGTTATAGGGTTTATATAATCTCAGCCGACTAAGTCGAATTAAAACCACATCGTTATAGGGTTTATATCATCTCAGCCGACTAAGTCGAATTAAAAGTGTCTCACTCTTTTACTTTTAACTCTCTTACTTATTTATACGTTTTGGTAGCCCTAGATATGCACATTTTAGAACTATAAGGAGCTCTTAAGAACTTTAATTGTTTCGTTCGATAAGAACCGATCTACAGTTAAATCTTTTTTTTAATCCTAATGAAATACAATTTTAAAATAACACAATCCTAAAAATTAAAGTAAATGAAATATTATTTGTCCCAAACTCTAAATTGGTTTAACATTTTTAGTTTTCTTTATAAAAAATAAGCAGTTAGGAAACATAATAGAAAATCCTAACACAAGTCCTCTCATCCATTTTCTCTCAAGAAAAATGTTTTCTTTAAACTGAAACCAGCAAAGGAGGGAGTCATGAATGGGAGGGGAAGGGAGGTATGGGGAGGAAAAGGGAGTGGGAGTCTTGTTTTACAGTACACGTAACTTTATGTTACCCCCAAATTGTAGAGTACCATGTCCGATTCACAATGGTACCCTTAAAAACTTTGCCCGATCAAGTATGAATGTTTCGCTACTTAGCGATTTCCCTAAAGACCTAATATATGTACCGTGTGGTATTTCTCAGGACCGGATCGTAAGACTCCCTTCTCTCAACGCTCTTCATAACAAAAGGATGATAATAAGGTTCCGAACGTTTATTTCTCTGAGTCTTCAATCTAAATAAGTTTAATAAACCCACAGAAAAAGCTTTGAGTGATAAATCATACGAATACAACAAATAATCCACTCAGGCATTAAAAAACTGTGGCGAGGAACCAACAAACACATATATAAATATCAATCATACTATAATCAAACGATAAGCATAAGTATATATAAGAAATAATTACCACAGTGATCCCAGAATTCTGGACACGGTTAAAACTTGCAAGACGAATAAACATATACTGATATAAACTATTCACTCCTCCGCGAGAAATCTTGCGCCTGCGTAGTCAGTCTGTAAACAGTTCCTAAACTAGTTCTTTCACAATACATTCTGTACAGATCTTCAGGGAGAACTCAGAAATACACAGGGGTGACAAGCAGACTTTATACACGCAGCATGGCTCGCGTAACAATGAACTATAGTGAGAGTTGAATATAAAAAGAACTTAAGTATTATATCAAGTAAAATTCGCGTCACTTTGTCCATAAATGATTGAGCTGAGTGCAATCTATGTTTAAAAACGATTCTCTGAAACTTTGCGTATGTGTCAAGTCCGGTTCAATAAAGTTTTACAGTTTCAGTTTAATTCATTTTTTATTAATTCCTAGAAATGTTTCATAAATAATTTTTAAACATCGAAGATTTAAAAATTTTACTAAAATTAATAATTCCTGAAAGTAATTTGTAAAAAAAAAATTTAATGTCTTGTATTCAAGATTAACGTTACTTTATACAAAAGTTTTGAACATTGGAAACATTTTGCAAGTTTTTATCTTGTTGAAACATAGAAACTATAAAGTTTGTATCCTTCTGAAACCTAGAGACTATAAAGTTTGTATCCTGTTAAAACCTAGAAACTGTAAAGTTTTTATCCTGCTGAAACCTAGAAACTATAAAGTTTGTATTCTGCTGAAACCTAGAAACTATAAAGTTTGTATCCTGCTAAAACCTAGAAACTAAAAATTTTGTATCATGCTGAAACCTAGAAACTATAAACTTTGTATCCTGCTGAAATCTAGAAACTATAAAGTTTGTATCCTGTTGAAACCTAAAAATTATAAAGTTTGTATCCTGTAAACCTAGAAACTATAAAGTTTGTATCCTGCTGAAACCTAGAAACTATAAAGTTTGTATCCTGCTGAAACCTAGAAACTATTAAGTTTGTATCCTGCTGAAACCTAGAAACTATAAAGTTTGTATCCTGTTGAAACCTAGAAACTATAAAGTTTGTATCCTGCTGAAACCTAGAAACTGTTAAGTTTGTATCCTGCTGAAAACTAGAAACTATAAAGTTTGTATCCTGTTGAAACCTAGAAACTGTAAAGTTTGTATCCTGCTGAAACCTAGAAACTATTAAGTTTGTATCCTGCTGAAACCTAGAAACTATAATGTTTGTGTCCTGCTGAAACCTAGAAACTACAAAGTTTGTATCCTGCTGAAACCTAGAAACTATAAAGTTTGTATCCTGCTGAAACCTAGAAACTATAAAGTTTGTATCCTGTTGAAACCTAAAAATTATAAAGTTTGTATCCTGCTGAAACCTAGAAACTATAAAGTTTGTATCCTGCTGAAACCTAGAAACTATTAAGTTTGTATCCTACGGAAACCTAGAAACTATAAAGTTTGCATTCCGATGAAATCTAGAAACTATAAAGTTTGTATTCCGATGAAACTTAGAAACCAAAAAGTTTGTGTTCTGCTGAAACCTAAAAACTGTAAAGTTATAACATAGTTAAAAACCTTGTCCCAGCTGTTTAATCGATACAATGCGTTCATGTACTTCAGTGTACACAGTTCTGCTGTCTCTAGTTACCGGATATTTCTTAAACACACAACAAGTACACAACAAGTACACAACAAGTACACAACAAGTACACAACAAGTACACAACAAGTGTACAAAGCAAGTCTAAAACAAGAACACAACAAGTACAAAACAAGTGCATAACAAGTACACAACAAGTACACAACAAGTACACAACAAGTACACAACAAGTACACAACAAGTACACAACAAGTACACAACAAGTACACAACAAGAACACACCAAGTACGAAACAAGAATACAACAAGTACACAACAAGTACACAGGAAGTACACAACAAGTACACAACAAGTACACAACAAGTGAAAAAAAGAACACAACAAGAACAATTGACGAGAGTTCAATCTTGTATGTTCAATTTGATAGAGTGATATATCCGATTCACAACACAACTGAAATTTTGTCTACTAATCCTCAATTTTCTAATTGAAAATTGATTTTTTTTTTCAATACCGGTTTTCTGTATAAGTGATCCTTGCGCATATACACCAGACAGCGAAATTTCTGGAAATTGTTAGAATTCAGCACGTTTTACGATAGAAAATAAAGATATTTTCCTTAATGGTACTGTTGTAAATAGAACATGCCTCAAGTAAGGTCGGTAAAGATGTGTAAAGTCATTTTTAATGCTTTTTAAAAATATGTTGCTTTTAGAAGAGAAAAAATGAGATGGAAGCAGGATCAGCTGTGTTTAAGGTACAATATATCAAATACAGGGTGACCCAACAAAAATGAGACTGTAAAGACGACCCAAAACTTTAACAATATGACAGTTTGAAGCTTGGTTTCTGATTTCTGAATTTATTTAAGTATTTTGATGGTTTACTAAATGATAAAGCACAGAAATAATCCAGCTTTGACCTATACAAGGAACCCTGAATGAATGAAAATAATTCCGCACAATCGTTTCTAAAGTCTCATCCTGTAACCCTGGATAAACAGTAGTCAAAACTTTTAGTTTATCTGCACAATATGCAGACTGGATAAACTCCTGTTTGAAAACCCCTGGTCATCATACCTTGCAAAGATTTTACTGTAATTAACCCTCCTGCACTCTGATTTAAAGGTTCCAAGCTCTCAAGCAAAATCGACGAGAAGTTTGCCGATTACTACTTAAAAACTAAAGCTAAAACCAATTGCTTTCTAGTGCTAAAATGTACTACAGAAAAGCTCAAGTGAGCAGTAAAATCAAAGCCTAGGGATTTGCGACACTTAAAATTCGACCCTGTCTTAAAAATTGAGGAGACTTTTTACAAGCAGGCTAAATCTATGTGCGTGGGACCAAGCTATTTTTATCGTACTAAAGGACCTAGAGGAGATCAATTTCACCCTGCAACATATTTTTCATATTTTCATATTTTTCCTTTTTCTACATTATAACTGAGATGGAATTTAAAGAATTTGAGCCACGGTTTAAATTAAGAGCCAGCTTAAATCTTGAAACATTTCATACAATTTTAAGTGGTACCAACCATATTTAAGCCGGGGCTTAAATTTAAACCGCCGCTCAAATTCTTTGAATTCGGCCACGGATTGCTTAAAATTTTGATCTATCTAAAAAAATATCACTTTTTCATAGAGTAATTACTAATTTGGCTTTACATTTGTAGAATTTTATCCCAAATCTTTGAAAATTTATCGGCAAAATATTGTAAAATATTCTCAGTTACTCTAGGTAGACATATTTCTCACACATTTTTATTATAAGAAGCAAATATCATGGGGAAATGGTACGAGAGAAAAAGAATACCCTGCACATAATACATTAATTCAATATATCTAACAAACCATCTTTTTAAATAGATCTCTTGGATTTACTACAAATTACACAGAAAGGACCAGGGTAGTTCCTAATTGATTTTGGTAACGGTGATTATGAGGTTGCTTACCTACCTATATTGTCCTGTCTCTGCAATTTGTGCCTATGGACCGTAAAGACATTATTGGTGTTAAATTCTTTATACGCCCCTGATCAAAATAGGAAAATTAAACCATGGGGTCGGGGTAAAAAAAATTAGGGTTAGTTTAAGATGGGAAGGGTGGGGAAGGGGGTGACAGGATGGTCACTTCTATATTTTAAAATTAATATTAATTCATTATTCGAAATATGCTCACTACTTCTATGATTCTTAATTATTAATTACCCTCCCCCCTCCCCCTTCTGTAGATTATTTTAATGCCCCTAGCACAAACTGCAAGTTCCACGTACCAGGGGTTCTTGAATTGATTTTCCTTCAAAATTCAAATTAAATAAGCTGCTTTTTTCCTACTTTCTAGTCTTACAGGCTTTCAGCCCATCTTCTTGTTCAACTATTGCTCTAGATCTTGTCTCTTTTTACATTAAAAAGCAATAACAAAAATTTTCGCGGATTTATAATTATTTTTTGGATTTTCCAAATTTCATTAAAACCAAAAGTTTTGCTGGCAAACTTTTGAAATTCTGGTCATCCAAAAACCCTCCCTGGGTCATGTTAGGTTCAATTTTTTTATGAATAAAATGTTATAAGAAGATTGTTGCGTTCAACTGATATATATATATATATATATAGATTATGTATTTATATTTCTTTATAGCTTTTTTTCTTCTTATCTTTAATCAATCTATCAATAATAATTGTAAATTGTAATCTAAACTATTATTGAATATGTGCTATTATTAAGCGAATTGAAATTGGAACTTAAAATTACTATACGACTATACATCTTTACAACTGTTCAATCGTGTTTAAAAACTATAGAAATAAAACATCGTTTTTGAAAACGAACCACTCGGTTTGAACTTATAAAAAACGAAAAAGGCTCGTATTTGAAAAAATGTTTCGCTAATGACTCTGAGTTTTATGACAATTAATTTCAATTCTTTTTTCAGGAAGATAAGTTTATGAATATTGTCTTGAATGTTTTTTTTATTGAGAGAAATAACCCAATGTTTTCTGACCAAAAAATGTATTTTGTCTTAAAAAGGTCGTTACTCATCGTTAATGATGGGTAGTTGTTAATGATGGGTCATCGTTAACGGTCGTTAACAAAGGGTCGTCGTTAAAGATCTTAAAAAATAAAAAAAAACCTACTTTTCGTTAATCAAACGACAAACTTTTTCAAAACGACCGTTGTGTTTTTAGTTTTTTCTTAATTTTTTATAAACGAAACTATCGTTTTTTAGAAAATGTTAACGATCCATCCCTACGGCCGTATGTACTTAACATACAAAGGAATTGAGTCTTTGTCACAAACTCTGATTATTTAATTTCCGCCGTACACGATATATTTAAAAACAATATGAAATATTAAAATTTTATGCGTTTTTCTTGTTTTGCAATGTAATTTTTCAAAAATGTCCTTAACTTAAAAAGCTTGAAGTTCATTACTAATCTTCTCTTCCTTTATTCTGGAAATTAATGACTTGAAATTGTTTTCTAAATGTTTCCCTAAATTCTCTTTAGCAATTTACACTGATGCACCGTAAAATATATTATACAAAAATATTGTTTTTAAAGGGAGAGCGTGCGAAAATAAAAGGGATTGCACCAAAATATTAAAGGGAGAGAGTGCGAAAATAAAAGGGAATGCACCAAAATTTTAAAGGGAGAGAGTGTGAAAATAAAAGGGATTGCACCAAAATATTAAAGGGAGAGAGTGCGAAAATAAAAGGGAATGCACCAAAATTTTAAAGGGAGAGAGTGTGAAAATAAAAGGGATTGCACCAAAATATTAATTGTAAATTGATCAAAGATTTGAACTTTTGATATATAAAAAGCTACTGCCATGTAAATAGTGGTATATTTTCAAAAAGACTAGATTTTTAAAAAAAATTTAACCTTATGTCTCAAACTTAGATCTAAAAGAATTTAAAATTTGAACTTGCAACCAATAGAACACAGACCTTGGTCTGTGTTCTATTGGTTGCAAAAAAAAGGAATTAAAAAAGCAGAATTTGTGGAAAAAAACTCAAATCCTCTAAACAAAGAGTAAGGACATTTTTTTTTATTTTTTTCACTTTAAAAATTAAAGTATTTACATATCTTTTTTGAATTTTAATGAAATTTGTTTATAGTTATTTTTAATGTTTAGATTTTATATCTTTAAAAACTTCTTAAAGATAATAAAGTTTGCAAAACAACTATATTTCTGCTAATTCTATCGAGAGGGTTATAAATATTTATTGAAGACCGAGAAATGTTATTGGCAAAAGGAGAATAGTGACTAAATGTGAAGAGCTTGTAAACAAGTCTGAACAATGCAATTTTTAAAACGTTCCAGGAATTTTATATTAAATAGATCTTTACTCTTTGATCGTTCATTGGAAACATTTTTGAATTCAACTTAGTTTAATATCTAGTAGAGCTTTAGCCCAAGGCTTTCCACTCTACACTCTACACTCTACACTCTACACTCTACACTCACAATCTACACTCTACACTTTACACTCTACACTCTACACTTTACACTTTACACTCTTCACTCTACACTCTACACTCTACACTCTACACTCTACACTCTACACTCTACACTCTACACTCACACTCTACACTTTTAAAGAATGCAGCATTATTTTACACAATTAAGGATAGTTAAACAAAATTCTTGTTTTAAATCTAAAGGGACTGATCTCTCTTACTTAAGCTGACATTGTTAGAAAAAAACCATCCTGACATGACATTTTTTGGTGGATATGGTAAATCACGAATACTTAATTAATTTCGATATCCAATGTGGGAACTTTTGAATTTGAAATCATAAAATTCACAAAATATAGAAATCCTTAATGGCTTACCAAATAATATTATAATGACTAAACAACATTTTTCACTTTATATATAGTTTTTCATAGTAGATTCAATAGTTTTAGGTCAATTATTCTGTAATTTTTGTTAGTAACCAGTTATCAATGTGTTTCAGGAAAATTCTTAACTTTTATCTTTTGCAGATTCCATGACAACCGATTTTTTTCTACTTGTGATAATTTTAGGCAAATTTTTATCTTTCCACTGTAATAAATCCCTTTGGTAATATTGTAAAGAGCTAGCTCATCCTTGCTCCTCAAAACATTAGAATTCATACGTCTTTAAACATTTAGAGGGTGAACATTATATTTTGATCTACCACTTCCCCAGTAAATTAAAGGACTGCTCCACTAAATTCGTACTGACCCGGCTCAATTCTGGTATTATACTGGAATGAATTCTGCTATAATATTGGCTATATCCATATTTTATTATAGACATGATATTTTAAAATTGATGTTCTGTGACTATCTAGTTAAAAGTGAATACCAATGGGCATTCTTATTGCCTCAAATATTTTATATTTTATTCTAGTTGAGTAATTTTATTTGATAAAGCATAGTCAGCTGATTATTTTTAGGATAGAGGAAGGGGGAGATGTTGGTAGACTTGGCCATATTCTCAGAAAATATGGAGGGTAAGAACGATAAGTATGTTATTAGAACAATGAGAATTATGTTATGACGATAAGTTTTATATTAGAACAATGAGGATTATGTTAGGAAGATAAGTTTTATATTAGAACAATGAGGATTATGTTAACACGATAAGTTTTATATTAGAACAATGAGGATTATGTTAACACGATAAGTTTTATATTAGAACAATGAGGATTATGTTAGGACGATAAGTTTTATATTAGAACAATGAGAATTATGTAAGAACGATAAGTTTTATATTAGAACAATGAGGATTATGTTAACACGATAAGTTTTATATTAGAACAATGAGGATTATGTTAAAACGGTATATTAAAAATTAAATCTAAAAATTATGATGATAAGTTTTATATTATATATTAGGATGATATGTTTTATAATAGGAAGGTATTTTTTTATATTAAGGTGGTGAGATACATATTTTCAGTATGTTTTATGTTAAGAAGGTTAAATTTTATATTAGGTCACATTTGGTTATGTATTTGGAGTATAAGTTTATATAAGAACAATGAGTTTTATATTTGAACAAGTTTTATATTAGGACTATTAGCTTTATATTAAAGGAGTGAGTTTTATAAAAAAAATTGTAAGTTTAATTTTAGAGCATTATATTTTATATTAGGACTGTAAGTTTTATATAAAGAAGGTTAAATTTGTACTATCTGAATGGTTAGTGGTTGCTTATATATCTGGATGGTTAGTGGTTGGTATTATATCTGGATGGTTAGTGGTTGGTTTTATATCTAGATGGTTAGTGGTTGGTCTTATATCTGGATGGTTAGTGGTTGCTTATATATCTGGATGGTTAGTGGTTGGTATTATATCTGGATGGTTAGTGGTTGGTTTTATATCTAGATGGTTAGTGGTTGGTTTCATATCTGGATGGTTAGTGGTTGGTTTAATATCTAGATGGTTGGTTTTATATCTGGATAGTTAGTTGTTGGTATTATATCTGGATGGTTAGTGGTTGGTATTATATCTGGATGGTTAGTGGTTGGTATTATATCTGGATGGTTAGTGGTTGGTATTATATCTGGATGGTAAGTTTTATATTATGATTATAAGTTTGATATATTTAATCAACAAGTTTTATATTATGATTGTAAGTTTGATATATTTAATCAACAAGTTTTATATTAAGATTATAAGTTTGATATATTTAATCAACAAGTTTTATATTATGATTATAAGTTTGATATATTTAATCAACAAGTTTTTAAGTTTGATATATTTAATCAACAAGTTTTATATTAAGATTATAAGTTTGATATATTTAATCAACAAGTTTTATATTATGATTGTAAGTTTATGTTAGGACAGTAGGATATGTTAAGGCAGGAAGCTGTAGAATGTTAAGCACTTCCCTCAAAAATATTAGCCAATTCGATCCAACCATTAGACAAGCCATGGCAAACTAATATAAATTATAACGATATATGAGTGAATAGATTTATTATATAGATATATGAGTGAATAGTTTTATTATATAGATATATGAGTGAATAGATTTATTATATAGATATATGAGTGAATAGTTTTATTATATAGATAAGTTTGGAAACAAACTATTAACTTTAAATGTGTAATGATTATAAACAGCTAATCGTGGATTATAATTTAAATTATATAAAAGACCTTATAATATTTACATCAACCCTATTTATCCTGACGTCCGGTTTCATGGCTGGGTCCCTGGGGAGGGGGGGGGGGGTCAAATGGCACCCTCCCCCTCTATATTCTTATTGTGATACAAATATATATCATTTGATACGTTTTTGCAAAATCTAGTTTTTAAGCAAAAAATGCGAAGGACAAAATTGCGCAAATTGCAATGAATTATACATTTTTGAAAAGCCCTTGACCTAGCAAATTGAAATGTGCAAAAAAATTGCAAAATTTGTAAAATCAAAATGTGTATTCAAGAACAACTGAAAATTTGCAAATTACCTTTAAAGGCGTCTGTGAAAATTGTGCAATCTGACTGCTTTTGTTATAGGCTTTCCAAAGAGCTATAAAATTTTGAAATCCAATGACTGGAAGTAGGTCTAAATAAAGATTTAGTCTGGTGTAGATAAAATAAGGCATTTAGGCAGTATGCCTGCAACGACTCAGGGCGCAGAAGATATAAAAGCCAAGCTTTTAGCCTGAAGTGATGGACATGTGTTAGTTGACAACCCCAGGATATATAGGGTTAACAATGTAGAGAAGCTTATGGTGAATGGTTTTGCATGAATAAACAATTATTTCCTGGTCAAATAAACTTGTTTTGAACCAAGAACCCCTTAATAGAAATACTAAATAATACCTTCACAGATTCTACAGATCGGACATTACAAGCTGTTTTAAAATAATAACTTTGTAAAGGTCTAGGTTGCATAAAGTGCATTGCTCTCCTATAGTATTTATATCATTTATATGTTGCTTTACCTGTCAGCATTTTTTTGAGTCCAAAAAATAACATTACAAATTTGTAGGTTTTTTACTCTTGATAAGTTTTTCCAAGTTCAACTTAACTTCAATATTCAAAATATCCAAATAATAAACCAAAAATAGAGGGAATAACCTTTCATCAATGAAAGAAATTTAGTTACAGAAAAAAACATTTAATAAGAATGATCGAAGCAAACTGGTTTAATATCTTAACCTGAGAAAAGTACCCTATCCCTTGAACCGTCTTGCAAAGAGGAGAAAACCTAAACTGCAACAACCAATAAGAGCTCTTTAACGGCGTAATTCCGACCAATGATAGGGCTTTTGATTGGTCGAAACATTTTCAAATTAGAGTCCTCATTGGTTGAATCAGTAGGAAACTTTGCCTTTGAAATAAAAAAGGAGCATTAATGCAGCTAAGAAGAAAGGTAGCCGGCATATCCAGATATCACAGATTTAAGACAAAAAAAGTTTCTCCCTGGATAACACTTATTATCCTATCTGCCTAATCTGTGTCCCCAGCTATTGACAAAGTAAAGGAAAGGGAAACCTGTCAAATATTAGGAAGTTAGTGTCCAATCATGGAAACAGGGATAAATCCTCATCACTTTAGAATATATATTTTTAATATTATTTAGTTAATTATTAAAATATGTTTCTTTTTTTACATTTTATTAATTAACAATTTAGGGCATCAAGCTCTATTTTTCCCTGAAAAAAAGGGTGTACCTTAAATGTACCCTGAATTACAGGGATATTTTTGACGAGAAATAGTCAGGATAAGTTTTTTCCTAGTGAAATCCCCCCCCCCCTTTATTCTTATCCTATTTCTAATTTGATATATATCCCCTTAATCATTATCCAGTTGATTAGACCATTTTGTAGCTTAGTCTACAAAATATCATTCTTCTGAGACCAGATTTAATGAAGAGTAAGATATAGTTGAAGACATGGTTGATCCACTTCTCTTGCTCAATTACGTCTTACTTTTCAGTAATATGGTCCCTGTACTAGCTATCTCGAGTAGACAATAATCATGTTAAATCAACAGTTCTTATCTACTCTTTATCTCTAATAGATTTTAATTATGTTTAATCTACCATTCTTATCTACTCTTCTTCTCTGTTAGACTTTAATCATGTTTAATCTACCATTCTTATCTACTCTTCTTCTCTAGTAGACTTTAAACATGTTTAATCCACTAATCTTATCTACTCTTTATCTCTAGTAGACTTAATCATGTTTATTCTACCATTCTCATCTCTAATAGACTTTATTTATGTTTTATTTACCATTCTTATCTACTCTTTATCTCTTGTAGACTTTAATCATGTCAAATCTACCAATCTCCTGTACCACTGTTCATCTGTTTGATTTTAATCTAAGGAATAATCAAAGTGTGTGTAAACCCCTGCATTAATGAAACATTACGTAACAGTAACCAATCCAAGAAAACTATAGTTTTAGTAGAACAAAAGACCAAACTTTGGTAAAGGGTTTCCTTTTTCATCACACGATTTTTTTCTTACCCAAGTTAAAATAAGTTTTAAACTGCAAATGCGCCAATCTGAAAAACTCATATTTTTTGTTTTAAATATTTATATTCCTGAAAAAAAATCTTACATTAAAGACCGTTTTAATGTTAGAAACAAATTGATTTTAAAAATTTCAATTTTATATCTTATGATTGCAAGGTTTTCTAAACTAGTTTTTAAATGAATGAATGACATGAATCCATATATCTGACTTGAAGAATAAGTTGATGCTTTTGACATATTTCTGTTGAGAGCTGGGAATAGAATTGGAAAATATCTGCACAAAAGGTTTGAATTTTCAGGAGCAAAACCATTTATATTTGCTGTAACTATGCAATATGCATAAAGATAAGTAGAGGATTGTATTAATGCATTTTTTCACGGAAATAAGTTTTCTTTTCCCAGTTTTGAAAGAATTGAAATTCAGAAATTCAAACTTCTAAAATCAAGACACGGTTATACTTCAGAATGGTAATTCTTAAAAAAGTTGTTGAAATCAAAATTGTATTTAAGTAGATGTACAAAGAAACAGGTGTTTCAAAGTATTAATAAAATTATGAATTTTAGAGTCTACAAATAATATAAATCCATATATGTAAATATGTTTGTATGTTACATGTTTTAGAGTCTACATATAATATAAATCCATATATGTAAATATGTTTGTATGTTACATGTTTTAGAGTCATTAATCAAAGGTCAATTTTGTTGTGTAAAATAATACCTTCACAAAAAAGTTTTCCTTAAATTTGAAAATGTACTTATTTGTATTGTAAACAATTATTATACGATTTTTAATTTTTGATTATGAACTTTAAAAGATGCTCGCAGATTGAAGCATATTTTTACTTGTTTTTTTTAAGTTTGGAATCTGGGTTATCAGAGGATCCAAGAAGATGCTCATCGTCTTCCCATAGGTAAACGATATACATAGGTAAACAATATCCATAGGTAAACAATATCTATAGGTAAACAATACCCATAGGTAAACAATACCCGTAGGTAAACAATACCCATAGGTAAACAATACCCATAGTTAAACAATACCCATAGGTAAACATTACCCATAGGTAAACAATATACATAGGTAAACAATATCCATAGGTAAACAATACCCATAGGTAAACAATATACATAGGTAAACAATATCTATAGGTAAACTATACCCATAGGTAAACAATACCCATAGGTAAACAATACCCATAGGTAAACAATATCTATTGGTAAACAATACCCATAAGTAAACAGTAAACATATACTTTCATATTTGTAATAGAATTTTTTTTTTTTTATTAGAAAAGTAACTGACAACAAGTCTCAAACTCTTATTTTCTAATTCCTCTATCTTTGCAATCTTTGATATTTCAAACTATAACTATTTGATCTGTCAGAATTTTCAGTTTTAAACAAAGGATATTATTCCTTAACTATTTAAATCTTGTTTTTGAAAATATTGTATTATTTTCATTTAGATGTCATCATGCGGCGCACGCATACACCTCAATACCTTGCTCAGTGTATACAAGTAAGTAAACAAAATCTAATTAATTTGGCAAATGATAATTTTCTAAATTATAAGTATGTATGATTACTCAACGGGTTTAATGAACTTATTAAACTGCGTTGCTGAAAACTTAAGTGTTATTGTTAACCACGCACCTCTGCCCCTTTAGTAAAAGTAAATTCAACCTATATGAAGCATAAAGTCTGACCGTGTAAACCTTGTTGCACCGGCTAGTACTGTCCATACATCTAGGTACAGTACAAACTGGGACCGGAAAGGTTAACCCAGCTCGGAAATTCAAATGTACTTTTCATTTCAATATCCAACCTTCTGTATCTAATAAAATTGAAACGTCTCTAAGCCATAACCTTGGCTTCGATTTGGAATGTATATTAGAGTTATGTATTTGAAAATTATACAAAAATATTATTTTTAGGAGGAATATCTGGTGTTCGACCAAGGTAACCACAATATTAAATAATATTTTCATACTTTTCATCTTTCAATTCTTATTTTAATTCTAATTATGTTCACATTTTAAAATTAAATCAAAAATTTAGAAAATTAGAAGTTTCATTAAATTAAAAAGAAGTTTTATGCGTCATTATATTTTACACAATTTAAAAACAATTAACCCCAAAATTTACCATGAATTAAATCGAACTTAAAAATTGAATTTAGAATGATAAAATACATTGAAAGTTAAACAAAATAGAAAATAGATGGATTTTCTGATTCTGAATACTTTCCGCCCAAAGTTTAATGTATTTTGTAATTTATTTTATTTTGAGGGGGGGGGGGGCAAATTAGCTAATAACAAATCTATAACTACATATTTAAAGTATTTCATATATAATTTTCAAAACAAAAATAGTTCATATTTTTTTAAATACAGAGATACCTTCCAATGATGAGACTTTAATAATTTGACCTGACAGTTTTTTTAATTTGTTGATATGATATCTTTGTCCATATATATTACATAATATATCTATCTATATATATAAAATATATCATATAGTTGAATGAATAAAATTCTGAATCTATTCTGGATCTATAGAATGCAATAAATTCTTGATAAATGATCTAATTTCTTCCAACAGAGTTCGGTAGAGAGAAAATAATTCATAAAATCCTGAGATTCTACTACCCCAACCCCTAGATTCTTCCCCCTAGCTGGATTCTACTACCCACCCCTTAGATTCTTCTAATAATCTATTTTCTAATAATCTATTTTCTAATAATCTATTTTCAAATAATCTATTTTCTAATAATCTATTTTACGAAATCAGCTTTTTTAAGTTGACACTGTACGAAATCAGCTCTTTTGAGTACACAATGTAGGAAATCAACTGTTTCGAGTTCACACTGTACGAAAGCGTAAAAGGTTTAAAGGATACCTTTTGTAATTACGTTTTGATAATACACTTTAAAGACTTTTTTAGTGGTTTCTTTTAACTTATCTTTTCTAAGAGTTAAAAATCAAATTAGAACACCACTGGTTTATCATGTTTTTAAAAAACGTCTAAGGGGGCCCCTGATGAAAAATACTAATTTTAAAATGTTTTTTAGTTTAAACAAGGAACGGAGCAAGGTAATTATATTTTAAAATGTCTTACATAGTATTTTTTTCTGAATGATTTATAATTAATAAAAGTTTTGATTGCTGCATGCAATTAACTGTTCTTAAAAAACGTTGATTTTGATATTTTATCTACTTTTCCGTGAATCAAATATTGTTTTCGAAAAATCTTTATTTCTGGAAAAATTCCTAACATGTTAAATACATCAAAAAGAGGTTTTTAAAGTAAAAACAGATTTTTTTACCTGGTTTACAGTTTCTAGTTTACAGTTCCTGGTGTACAGTTCCTGGTGTACAGTTCCTGGTTTACAGTTACTATTTTACAGTTCCTGGTTTACAGTTCCTGGTTTACAGTTCTTGGCTTGCTGTTCTTGGTTTACAGTTCCTGGTTTACAGTTCCTGGTTTATAGTTCCTGGTTTACAGTTCCTGGTTTAAAGATCCTGGTTTTCAGTTCCTGGTTTACAGTCCAGGTTTACAGTTCCTGGTTTACAGTTCCTGGTTTACAGTTTCTAGTTTACATTTCCTGGTTTACACTTCCTGGTTTACCTTTCCTAGTTTACAGTTCCTTGTTAACAGTTCCTGGTTTACTGTTCTTGGTTTAAAGTTCCGATTTTGCAGTTCCTGGTTTATAGTTTCTGGTTTAAAGTTCCTTGTTTACAGTACTTGGTTTACAGTTCCTTGTTCTCAGTTCCTGGTTTACAGTTCCTAGTTTAGATTTCCTGGTTTCCACTTCCTAGTTAACAGTTCCTAGTTTCCAGTTCCTGGTTTACAGTTCTTGGTTTACAACTCTTGGATTACAGTTCCTAGTTTACATTTCCTGGTTTACAGTTCTTGGTTTACAATTCCTTGTTAACTGGTTTACAGTTCCAGGTTTACCGTTCCTGATCGACTTACACTTTCCTAGTTTACAGTTTGAGGTTTACAGTTCCTGATTTACAGTTTACTTCTAGGGTATCCAACGTATCAGATTATTCACTGACGTGTAATTGGCGAAACTGCATTACCACAAAATCACTTCGTAATTTCGCGTAATTTCTACAAAGAGTTTTTTACGAAATTTTGTAATGATTACGCTTAATTAACGAAACTTCAATTTCACGAAATTATGGCGTAATTTCACGTTAATTTTGACTATGTAATTTCGCGAAATTTTGTTTTATTTGCGCATAATTAGCAAAACTTCGATGTCGCAAAATTACGCCATAATTTCATGTAATTTCTACAAGGTAATTTTGCAAAAAATATAATAAATACGCGTAATTAGCAATACTTCAATTTCGCTAAATTATGCTGTATTTTCGAAAAATTTCTACAACGTAATTTCGCGAAACTTTGCAATAATTACGCCTAATTAGCGAAACTTCAATTTGAAAGTATTTAAATTATTCAATCATATTACACATATTTTCCCGCTATATTCATTTATGAGAATTCATAGTGCTTTACTAACTATGGAATGGTTTCGTATTACGTTATTTTGCGTGATTATGCCTTAATTACGCGAAAATAGACTTTCTTTTGTATATGTAATTAACACATAATTTCGTGTAATGCTCCTCCGTAAGTTAAAGAAAGTGTTGCGCGTAATTACGCAAAATTACGCGTTATGTAATAAGACTGGAAACCCTAACTAGTTCTAGACTGTTGAGTGTAGTCAGGACGGATGGGAGCTGTTTACTCCGGAGTATAATAAATGGTTCTCACTGTATATGTGTTCTAGACTATTGTATGTAGTCAGGACGGATGGAAACTGTTTACTCCGGAGTGTAATAAATGGTTCTCACTGTATATGTGTTCTAGACTATTGTATGTAGTCAGGACGGATGGAAACTGTTTTCTCCGGATTGTAATAAATGGTTTTCACCGTATATGTGTTCTAGACTATTAAGTGTAGTCAGGACGGATGGAAACTGTTTACTCCGGAGTATAATAAATGGTTCTCACTGCATATGTGTTCTAGACTGTTGAGTGTAGTCAGGACGGATGAGAGCTGTTAACTCCGGAGTATAATAAATGGTTCTCACTGTAAATGTTTTCTAGACTATTGTATGTAGTCAGGACAGATGGAAACTGTTTACTCTGAAGAGTGATAAATGGTTCTCACTGTATATGTGTTCTAGAATATATTAAGTGTAGTCAGGACGGATGGGAGCTGTTTACTCTGGAGTGTGATAAATGGGTTACACTGTATATGTGTTCTAGACTATATTAAGTGTAGTCAGGACGGATGGGAGCTGTTTACTCTGGAGTATAATAAATGGTTTTCACTGTATATGTGTTCTAGACTGTTGAAAATAGTCAGGACGGATGGGAGCTGTTTACTCCAGAGGATAATAAAACCAAACTCATAAGGGATCAACATTATCGACAACTTTTCCAGGTTCCCGTTCAAATTTAAAATTTTAAACTTCAAAATTCCTTCTTTTTTCATAAAATTGATTTTTAACCCTGTTAGCCAGAAACCTGTGAACATATTTAATTACGGTTTTGTGGCTTAGCTTCTTTTCTCTATCAAAAGTTCCAGACTCGATGGACTTGTTAAATCTCTCATTTTTTTTTATAAATCAGAGACAGGCAAACGAACACCAAAGAAGCATAAAAATAGATAAAAAATATAGGGATACAATGAATTTATTTCAATGATATAAGAACGCATCAAAAATAGCAGCCATAAAAACTTTTTGATAATGTTTTTTTAATATAAGAAGATAATTGAACCAAATTCACTGGTGTATCATATAAAATGCTTTACGTGTATTAGTACTATGCATATATACTAATTAAAACAAAAGAAGATCTTAACACATTCATTATTTTGGAGAAGATTGGAAACCTTCTAATTAATGAAGATTGTAGGGTTTACTAGATTTTCCGGATCATGTAGGGTTTACAATATTTTCTAGATCATATAGGGTTTACAATATTTTCCGGATCATGTAGGGTTTGCAATATTTGCCGGATAATGTAGGGTTTGCAATATTTTCTGGATCATGTAGATTTTACAATATTTTCCGGATCATGTAGGGTTTACAATATTTTCCGGATCATGTAGGATTTACAATATTTTTCACAATATTTTTTGGATCATGTAGGGTTTACAATATTTTTCACAATATTTTTCGGATCATGTATGGTTTACAATATTTTCCGTATCATGTAGGGTTTATATTCCAGATCATGTAGGGTTTACAATATTTTCTGGAACCTGTAGGGTTTACAATATTTTCCGGATCATGTCGGGTTTACAATATTTTCGGAACATGTAGGATTTACAATATTTTTCACAATATTTTTCGGATCATGTAGGGTTTACAATATTTTTCGGATCATGTATGGTTTACAATAATTTCCGGATCATGTAGGGTTTACAATATTTTTCGGATCATGTAGGGTTTACACTGTTTTCCGGATCATGTAGGGTTTACAATATTTTCCGGATCATGTAGGGTTTACAATATTTTCCGGATCAATTTTGTGTCGACGATAATATTTTTTGGATTTGGAACTTTTCCCGATGGAATTGATTTGGAAGCATCCTTAAAAAAGTTATCTTACATAGCTTCTAGGGTTAGATAATTGTTGTAGACATGTAAGGAACCAAATTAATTTTAAATGATTCAAACCGTTTTCGTGCAATTAAACTCACTTTTTGAGTCCAGTGGCCGAATTTAATGAATTTAAGTCGCGTCTGAAATCCCCCACAAACCGGTTTCAATTTTAAGTAGAACCAACCTTATTTGAGCCGCGGCTCAAATTCTTTACATTCGGCCTCTGCTCTTGGAATTCTAAATCAAATTAGTTTTCAAGGAAACTTTCAGGAATTAGGTCTATTTAAAAAAGATATATTTTTCGATCTCTCTTGGATTTATCTCTCTTTTTTAGTTACTAATGCACTATAGCGAAAACTATTAGTTTACGTTTTCAATAACAGTTTCTATAATTTTATTGTAATGCAGTAAGTAATTCATTTGGTTTGATACTTTATATTTACAGGACACGGTTCCTGAGAAGAAGTATGGGGGTAGAGGAGGAGATGTTCTTGATACAACTAAAAAATATTATGTATCCTTCACCATCAGGTCATATTTAACATGCTTAAAGGGACTGTAAACTTTTTTTCAAGTCACCCTCAGTTTATAAAATGGAGCGTCGTGTCCGATTTTCAATGATAAAGTTAAAACCTTGCGATATCTACAGAGCAATGATATTGTGGGTTTTATAGATTAAAAGAAAACATATTTTTTGTTTGTTTTTTAGAACGCAGAAACATTTTCTTTTTGTTAAGAGTACCGTTCCGTTGTTCATCGAGCATGCCTACCTTTTTTCAAATTGAGGACGACAATCTTTCTTGAATGGTATTATAGCTAAAATAGGAAGGTTAAAATAAGATCAGTTTTATTTATCAGGTTTTTTTATTTAAGCCGATTGACTGTTTCAAATAAAGAAGTGTTTACTTTGCATTTTGCACAGAGAATAGCCTATATGGTTTCAGATGTTTTATACGATTACGAAAGATTATATGTGTTTTAAAATCCGTTCTGAACTTTTATAATTCATAAAAAGCAATGGTATTACATATTAAATGCAACCTTCACAACTTTAATTAGACTTTTGCATTGTAATCATTGTAATAAAAAACATGGGAACTGTACCTTGCCCTTTATCAAAACGGCATTAATTCTTTATTTGAAATTCGTCATTTATTTTCATATGATTGATTTCTATCCTGCCGTAGACGTTTCAGTAACATTTTGCCTTGTTACACTTTGCCTAGTCACAATTTGCCTAGTAACATTTTGCCTTGGTAACATTGTGCCTTGGTAACATTTTGCCTTGATAACATTTTGCCTGGGTAACATTTTGCCTTGGTAACATTGTGCCTTGGTAACATTTTGCATTGATAACATTTTGCCTAGTAACATTTTGCCTTGGTATCATTGTGCCTTGAACATTTTGCCTTGGTAAAATCTCTCTATAATTTTGCCTTGAATAACTAAAAACTATTTATTATTATTACAATACATATATCTAAGATGCAAGGTTTGACAATGATAATTTTTGTTGAAACTTTAAGCATCATCATCTTTCTTAGCTAGGTCCTGAGCAATCATTCTGATGTAGTCTGAATTCGGGATGGTTTCACAACTCTCTGCTACATATTTTAATCTGCCCGGGCCGTCTAAGGATTTCTGTTTTCTTCCGCTGTTGGTTGATTTGTCCTAGTGCATTAGACATAAATGAGCATCTTGTATCAGCTTCCGTGCTTCTGAAGAGTTTTTGAATCTTCCAAACATTGGGCTTTGCCTCGGTTTAAAAAAACTTTTGCGTATCTCTAAAAAAGTATTTGCGCATTTCTAACTTTTCACAAATCAAGGTTCCTATCAAATTAAATTGTTCAAGGCAAAATTGTAGTAAGATGTTACCAAGGCAAAATGTTATTAAGGCAAAATGTTACCAACGCAGAGCGTTATAAGGCAAACTTGAACAAGGCATAATGTTACCAAGGCAAAATGTGACTAGGCAAAGTGTAACAAGGCAAAATGTTACTGAGCCAAAGAGACTCAACAGGCAAAATGACATTGTCTTGGTCCGAAGACAATTTCTGAACCGAGCGATGTGGCCTCAAACTTGGCCGATCACCGCGGCTAGGGACCGAGCGCTGCGGCCAAAAATCAAATTCCATGTGATTTATGAACGACTAGCTTGGGAACATAGTGCTGCCAAGGTTACTAAAAGTAACTCCCGCCGTTTACCCGCACTTAAACGATTTTACCGGGAAAGTCGACCACTCAACTTAAAATCTCAAAACCAAATTGAGAATATTCCTGTGGGTCTCCCAATCAAAATTTGAGACAAATCGGTCCTGGGGTTCCTGAGTTATGATCGGAAAAATAAACAAACTAACATCTCAACAGAGATTACAACTTTATATATATATAGATATTTTGCCCGTTTTCCGCCCTATGATGTTAACCCTATGTCTATAAATCTAGAACATGGAAAACACACAGTACTGTAAATTGGTCCGATTTATCCGAAATACTGAGTGTTAGGCAACTAGAACAATTGTTGCACACTTTCAATAGAAGCTATAGACTAGAGATGTCAACGTTTTGATTTTTCTAGATTTTAGCTTTCTTTACGATAGTGTTCATCAAAAGTATTAACGTTTGAAAAGTTACGTTGCACATTATGAAACTTTATGGCATAGAGTAACGTTACGTAATGAATTTCTGCACTTGAATACCATATACAACGTTAAGCTTTAGTAAATGTTGTGAAAAAAACAGTAAACTCCGTTACGCTTTTGCATTTCCCGTATTGAAAAACTTTCCCAACGTTGCGTTAAAGCTTATGTAATGTAACCACAATTTTTTAACGTTCCACTTTCATGCTAGGTAAATATTTTCAGAGACCTTACGTTACACTTTCACTTGGTTTAAGATCTAAAAGATGACAAACGTTTTGCTTTTATAAAACGTCATTGGGGCATAGTTCTGAACGTTAAAATGCATTTCAGTGCAAAGAATATTTTTTGATAACGTTACGTTTTATCTTAACTTTTCCAATATAAACTTAACGTTCACGTTATATAGAATATATCCAAACGTTACACATTATTGTAACGTAACGTACAAAAACGTACATTTTACGTTACGTTACACTATCGTTGACATCTCTACTATAGACAGCAAAGCAGGACTGTAAATTAAGATTATTTTGGACCTTATTATCCTTATATGTATCTTTGTATTTCAGGCCGAAGCAAAAAGGATCTGCCAATAAATCTAACATGTTCAGAGTCGAGGAGAAAACATTTTAAATTTCGTAAAGGGATTGTTCAGATATTTAAGTAAGGTTGGAGGTATCAATAATCAATAAATAGCTCTTATCTATACCTTGATAACAATTGGTGAAGCAAAATCCTCTTTTTTTGCCTGCATTTCATAAATATATGTAAAACCACTTTAATTTTTAAAGGTTTACTTTAAGTTTAGCATATTTTTCAAATTTCTTAGCAATTCGTGTAATATCGTTGTGTTCTATAGTTCAAACAGTTAGATATCGATTTCTATTTACGTAATATTTACGCCAAAAAGGAATTGAGTTTTTGCCACAAACTCTGATTTTCTAATCTCTATATCTTTGTATGTCAATGTCGTAGACCTTAGATATTTTAAACTATTAATACTTATAGATAAAGCAATCTAAGTTTGAAATATCAAAGGTTTGCACCATCAGATTGCAAAGATATTGGGATATGAAGATTTGAGTTTGTGGCAACAGCTCAATTCCTTTGGTTCAATTTTCTCAAAGAGCAATAGCTAATCCTATTGATATGACTTCATTCAGTTTCAATTTGTGAACTATAAACGTTTTGTTGCAATAAATAAATGTTAAATGTATAGTCTTTTTAACTTGTCACTTATCACGTTTTACATACTGTTAGTTCAGTAAAACTTTTATTTATAAAATATAAACATTACTAGGAGTAGGACGAAGTACTGAATAGCTCTACTCGATGAGATATTCTTGTTTCTCTATAAGCTTATGACTGATCATTTCTTTATATTTTTAAAAGAAAAAGAAAGCTGCCATTTGAATTTGATATCCACTCTTTAAGTGGAATGTTATTTGAAATGTCGTCGTTATTTGGGATGTACGTGCATACATATGCATACCAGACTGCTTATCAGAAGAGAAAATTTTACAAGTACATTAGACTGCTTAAACGTTATTTCCGATAAGATGACATCTCAACCCGATAAGCTGACATCTCAACCCGATAAGATTTAGATAAGCAGCATTTTGTGCAGGGACTATTCATACAAATATACTGCTTATAA